GTGGAAGATTTGATATATGTTTTTTTGTCTAATCATTTAATTCTATACTCCCTATGACCTTGGCTGCTAAGAAGTTCAAAGTTCAATTTGAATTTCAACTATAACAATGAAAAAGGACTTTATAATAGTGTATTTCTACTTGTTTACATTTTATTCTTTTTCATGCTTTTTTCTACTTTATTTAAAAAAATTTTTTTCTTTATTGATTTTTAGAGAGAGATGAAGGGAGAGGGAGAGAGAGAGATAGAAACATTGATGAGAGAAAACATCAATTGGCCCACCTCCTGCATGCCCCCCACTGGGGCCCACAACCTGGGCATGCCCTGACCAAGAATCGAACCAACTACCTCTTGGTGTATGGGTCAACCCTCAACCACTGAGCAACACTGTCCAGGCTTTTTTCTACTTTATTTTACCATTTTTTTCATTTATCCTTCTTAAGTAAACTCATATATTTTGTAAAGTTATGTAAGTAAATAGAAACAAAGGTAAAACTCTTCTACTGATTTTTAAGGTTAATAAGATTGACATTTAAATAAGACAATTTTGAATACTAAAATATTATTTACATCTGAATGCAGAGCTTCCAGAACAGCATGAAAAAAAATTTATTTGAAAATTAACTTTTTTAAAAGACAAATATCTGAGTTTTCGGGGAATGTAGAGCTAATTATTAGGAAATGCTACATATACATATACATATATTCCTTATTACATTCTGAACATCTCATCAAATATAAAAGAATATGATTTTGTTGGAGGTGAGATCCGTAACTTTTAGCATAACTAAGTTTAATGAGGTGTTATACAGTCAAATCTATAGTCTGTATTTGATAGTCTCATTAATTATATGTATTTTTACCATTAGAAGACTTTGGGGAAAACAGTAAGTAGTCAAAGTTCTGCAGATATGTATATCTTTTAAAGTCTAAACTAAAGTCCTGGCCAGTTTGGCTTAGCGGTTAGAGCATCGGCCTGCAGTCCCGAGAGACCCGGGTTCGGTTCCCACTAAGGGCTCGTACCTCGGTTGCAGTTTGTCCCCAGCCCTGGTTGATCGTGCGGGTGGCAACCACTCAATGTGTCCCTTTCACATCGATGTTTCTCTCTCTTTCTCTTTCTCTTTCTCTCTCTCCCTCCCATTCTATCAGAACAAAAAATGGAAAAATGTTCTCATGTGAGGATAAAAAAAAAAGTCTAAACTAAAGTTAAACACTCTGAAAGCAACATATTTTTGATCAAATGTCCTAGCAGTCTTATAGGGATCTACAAGGAGAAAACTATTGATTCTTTAGTTGGTATTGAAGTATCTTTCTGGGAAGTATGGGCTTAATCTAGAAAGGATAAAAAAAAAGAATCAGTTTGCTATCTGTGTCATAACTTGTACTCTGCCTTGGGTATGTAGAAAATGTATATAATGTGATTTTTTTAAAACAACGCTGTGACATGAAATTTAGGCGTGCTATTTCTGAGGCCCTGTGTTTTCTCAAGGTCTACACTCTCCTTAGATTGCTCATACTGAACTAGGTAATATGCTTCTCAAGTACAAAGCCTTTATCTTTTCTATAAACTGTTATTCTTAAAGTATCTACACTTAACCTTGTGTGTATTTTTGTGTAATTTGACATACTAATGACCCAGCTAGACTTAAAACTTATAGAGAGAAAACACCATTTGTTATAACTCTTTTACCTACATGACATCTAACACAGTACTTTTATTAGATAGCATGAAAGAGGAAGGGAGCCCTCACAGACTATAGTTTTAAGTCTCTATGATTTCTCTTTTAATCTATGTTGGAAAGTGTTTCCAAATGGATCAATAAAATTTATTGTGACTATAAGTAGTTGCTATTGAATGACTTTTTATTTTATTTTATTTCGGTTAATCCTAAAAGAGTCAGTAAAAAATTAAATAATGTGATATACTTCTAGAAATTTTTAGTAAATCAAAGGTTGATTTGTGAAAGTAATGAAGTCAACTGAGATTCATGGAAGTACTGTGTTTAGAAACTCTTAATATATATGTACACACATACGTATCATGCTAAGAAGTCAAATTCTAGCAAAGGTTTATGATAAAGAAGAAATCAACAGAAGAGTCATGGTTTGTGGAAAAGTTTTTTGTTTTACTTCTGTTATTTTGGGGTATACTAATAGTACTAGCTAGCATCTGTTCTAACTGGTGAGTAGTAAAATATTTTCAGTGTGAATCCTGGTTTGTGTGAAACATAATTGCCTTGATTATATCTTTTTATGTGCATGAGTAAATGAAAATGTGTTTAGATTTCTTTAGTTACATTTACATTTCATGCCAGGAACCTAATTTCAATTCAATAACCACTGGAAATAAAGCATAAAATCTTGCTTAAGTGAGGAATTAATTACATTTCATAGTAAACAAAATTGATTTATTAAACTTTTATGGTTTTCCTTCCTGGTAATAGTGGGTTGTGTATATATTTTTAATTATCCTTGATCTCTGTAACCTTTCAAAGCTGTTATTTTAAGTCTTCATTTCTTTTCTGATTAGAATGAAGACTAATTCAACATGACTAAATAATACGTAGGTGTTATTTCCAAAGGGCCAAAGGCCATTCATTCTAGATCTGTCTGGATCTATAGCCCAAATTCTGGCAAAATTCACTAATGCAAATAGTAAACATTATACTAAAAGAGAGCCTATGGAAATATAAGGAGAAATTAAAGAGATTTGTCATTTAAACTTTAAATGATATCATCTATATCTAAAATTTAAAGTGTTTTATTTTCTTTCTCACTAAAATTACTTAGTTATAATTATTTCTACCACTCTTATTTTATTTTTCAATTACAGCTTACATTCAATATTATTTTGTATTAGTTTCAAACTAAACAATCATATACTTTATAAAGTGATTCCCTGATATTTCTAGTACCCACCTGGCACCATACATAGTTATTACAATATTACTGACTATATTTCCTATGCTGTACTTTACATCCTCATGACTGTTTTTATAACTACCAATCTGTATTTCTTAATCCCTTCACCTTTTTCACCCAGTCCCCCAAACCTCCTACCCTCTGGCAACTGTCAGTCTGTTCTCTGTATCTATGAGTCTGTTTCTATTTACAGGAGTCTGACTTCTAGCATTGCCTGATTAGGGAGAAGGGGGTGCAGAAAAAGTAGGGGAGAAGTACTAATTCCCTGTGTCTATAGGGCTGACTACCAATGTTATTCCATGCTCAGAACTCCAAGGGCTCTTCATGGATATATAAGCCTGTGGCCTTAATGCCTTCCACCACCTACACCTTGTTGTTCATTTAGGCCTTACCTACACATAGATTGCTGGTTTGCAGTGCAGAAAGGTTTCCACATAAGGCCAGATTGTTTTCCTTATCTACATTAGAGAATATTTGATATTCCATGTCCTTGGCCTTTTACCTGTTCCAGGATCAAGTTAGGATCCAAAAAAAGGCCAGCATGATTCCAGCAATCTGCTGGTGTTCCCAAAGTTTATGAAAGGATGTTATTCAAAGGAAAAACTACCTTGAAGGAAAATAGAAGAAAGAACCTATCTCCACAGGGAGGTCTGGGGAAAAGAAGAATTTGATGAAAGAGTATTGGTAGATGGAGAAATGGAACAAAGCCATAATACTCATCTCAAGTCTCAAGTCATGTGATTTTAATATGCTTTCCCAGAGGAAATCAAATGGTTGCCTTTGGAGAAAAGGTAGTCTGTGCAAAAGTTATATGATTCTTACCTTTTCTTCACAGACTTAATGAGGCAAACTTTTTGCAGAGCTGGAAGTGTGGAAAATATATGTTCTTGTAAATTCCAAAAGAATTCATGTAGGCACTTTGTCCTTTGGTGTGTTGTTTGGGTTTAGTACCTCTTCATTGTGAGAATTTCTATTCAGTGCTTATATTATGAACAATATAATAATGATAATCTGTAGTGTTTAAGAATGAGTCTCAAGGAACATAGTGATGTGACAGGTGAATAGTTTCCTGCTGTTCATGAAAGATCAATGTGGAGTTATAACAGCCTTAGAAAATAAATCTAAGCTGGAGTCTTTTTTTTCTATCACCATGGTCACATCTAGCATAGAAGTGTAGCTATTTTTATTTAGATATGTACCTACTTGAAAACTAAATCTCTTGCTTTTAACATTAAAAGCAACACATTGTGTATTTCTTAAAGTTTTATTTGGCAGCATGATATTCATTTGTTTGGTTGAAATACTTAGGTCTCTGATGGAAGATTAATTATTCGGCTTTTGTTATTAGGTCATTCATTGGTACATCTTCCTGAGCTGGTATAACAGAATTGTGCACTCACTTAGGTGCTTGTCTTTACTTCTGATATCTGATACCCTCTTACTGTGGAACTGAACCTATTATTTCTCTAGAGGTCCAAAAGAATGAAATCACCAAAAGAAAGAAAGGAACAAAAGAGGAAGCGAGGGAGGGAGGGATTTTCTAATGTATATTCTAAAATGTATATATATTTCAAATATATGTATATATTCCAAATATGTATATATGCCTTTATGTACCACATATATATTCCAAGTATATATTCTAAATATACATATTCCAAATGCATATAGTTCAAATATATATACACATTTAAAATATACATATTCTCAGGAGTGAATTCCCTGTCACTGGACGTGTTTAACATAAGTCATTGACCCTTGATATAAGATGATATAAGATTCAATCAGCAAATGCTTACTTCTCCCCAAAATGCTAATAATGGCTACAAAATTATAATTTTAGGTAGTATGTGTTTTTATTATTAAATCATGAAACAAGCCAATTTTTAATCTGAATCTCTGAAGACAAAGGAAAAAGTTATTATTTCGACAACATGGGTAGAACTAAGGGATATTATGTGAAGTGAATTAAGATAAAGACTAAAGGCGTCACCAGTACCTTCCCTGCCCGATGCCCGCCGCTCCTCCCCTGTCTGCTCTGGGCCGAAGCCTGGGAGACTAGAGCGAGAAGCCAGGACCATGTTCCGACGCAAGCTGACGGCCCTCGACTACCACAACCCTGCGGGCTTCAACTGCAAAGATGAAACAGAATTTAGAAACTTTATTGTATGGCTTGAAGACCAGAAAATCAGACACTACAAGATTGCAGACAGAGGTAATTTAAGAAACATCCACAGCAGTGACTGGCCCAAGTTCTCTGAAAAATATCTCACAGATGTTAACTGTCCTTTCAAGATTCAAGATCGACAAGAAGCAATTGACTGGCTTCTTGGTTTAGCTGTTAGACTTGAATATGGAGATAATGCTGAAAAATACAAGGACTTGGTAGCTGATAATACAAAAAATGCTGTCAATGCAGCTAACGATGCAGAGCCATTGATCAACTTGGATGTTAATAATCCTGATTTTAAGGCTGGTGTAATGGCTTTGGCTAACCTTCAGATTCAGTGTCATGATGATTACCTGGTAATGCTTAAGGCAATTCGCATTTTGGTCCAAGAGCGCCTGACACAGGAAGTAATTGCTAAAGCAGGTCAAGCAAAAGAGGGATTGCCTGTTGCTCTAGACGAGCATATTCTTGGTTTTGACACAGGAGATGCAGTTCTTAATGAAGCTGCTCAAATTCTGAGATTGCTGCATATAGAAGAGCTCAGAGACCTACAGACAAAAATTAATGAAGCCATAGTAGCTGTTCTGGCAATTATTGCCGATCCAAAGACAGACCACAGACTGGGAAAAGTTGGAAGATGAACATTTTAGGATTTCAGCCTCTTGCCTAATTAGTACAGTTGGGAACAATGCACACCCTGGTATGTGTTTTGAAATCAAACACCACATTTTCAAGGGAAGAATCCCAGAAAATTAACTTGTTTTAGAGATTTACCATCATTTCTTTTTCTTTAATAAAGTTTGGGAAAGGAAAAAAAAAAGATAAAGACTAAATTACTATATGATTTCATTTACATGTGGAATCTAAAAAACAAAATAAATGAACAAACAAAACAGAAACAAACTCATAGATACAGAGAACAAACTGATGGTTGCCAAGTGGGAGGAGAGCTGGGGTGCTGGGTAAAAGTGGTTAAGGGAATAAGAGGTTCAAATTGGCAGTTATAAAATAGTCATGGGGGCGTAAAGTACAGCATAGGAATAGTCAATAATGTAAAAACTATGGTATCAGGTGGGTACTAGATTTATCTGGGGGATTAATCTAATAATTAATATAATATAATATTATTTTAATTATATAATAATATTATTAATGTGATATATTAATATATAACATTGAATGTCAACTGTAATTGGAATTACTTTTAAATTATTTTTAAAAAGAAAAAAGTCATTAACCACTGCTTCAGAGATTACAGAATACCAGACCTGGAAGGAACCATCAAATCGAATTACCTACTTAATGATTGAATCTTATATCATCCTCAAGGGTCCTTGGCTTATGCTAAACACTTGTAGTGACAAGGAATTCACTACTTAAAGATAAGGATACTTTGATTATGATTTGGATCTGGGCCACTGTAACTTTATCCGTTGGTCTAGTTCTACTCTTAGGGTTCATGTAACTCTTATATGACAGTTTTTCATATTTTTAAAGAAAGTTCTGATGTCCTGCCTGCGTTTTCTTTTTAGTCTTTGCTATTTTTGTCTTTACTATTCAAGCCTCCAAATACTTTGATTCTAATTTTCCAAATGTACTCAAGTTTGTCTGTATTTCTCAAGTGTAGCCCTGAATGTGAGTGAGGTTCTAAGTGTGCAGTGACTGTATTAATACAAAATGGGCTATTGCCCTTCCTGTGGATTTGAGGTTATGTATCTATTTTAGCAGCCTGAGAGCACACTGACTTCTTAGGGTACTTAACAGGTCTATCATTTCTCAGATCATCTCACACCATCAAAATTAAGAAAGATGCATTTGCTGTTAACCAGGTTTTAAGTTGTGCTGCGTTCCATTATCTCCCTTTCTCAAACATTTGAGGAATGTTACATTTAATCTTTTTCTTTTCTGTTTGTGAGTTTGTTTTAATCTCTTCCTCTGTTGGGGTGGGAAACAGTAGGTAATATAGTGTATTAATCAAGCAATGTATGCAGTCATTTCTTAAGTAGGACCAGAAGAGACAGTTTGTCTCTTTCTTTTTTGGAGTCTCTTTTAGTAGGTTCTGATTTTCATTATTTGCTACCTAAAAAATGTAATCTGTTTTTTAAAAATAGACCCAGAGACATGGAAGTAAGGTTCAGACTGACAAACCTCAGAAGAGGGGCATAGGGGGGGAAGGAAGAGATAAACCAAAGAAGTTATATGCTTATATGCATAATCAATAGACATAGACAACAATGTTGGGGAGAAGGGGACAGAATCGGGAGGAGGTTGTCAGTGGGGGTGAAAGGAGAAACATCTGTAACAAAAATAAATTAATAGAAAAAAAATTAAATTAAAAATTTTTAAAATGTACTCGGTAAATAGATTCATAATCTCTATTCTTGTGACACTTATCATTTCAAGTCTTATCTTTGTAAAGGTTGTGTCACAGCTTCTGCCTATGAAATGAATAGACTCCTGCAAAAATATAGCTGTTTGTAAATTCCCATTTTTATGAATCAGCACACTCTACCTCATAGATAATTTTGTGGTGAAAAATAATCTTCTAATTCAGCTGTTTTATAAATTGTGTCTCAGAACACTGGATTACAGATCATTGAAGATTTAGTATATTGAGGTACAGTGCATATTAGAGTGAGTTCTATGCTTTTCCAAGAAATAATAGAGTTTAAGACCAAAAGATAAAGAGGTTTACAGCGAAGTGTATTGAAAATTACATCTGACTTAAAAGCCAGAAGAGATTATTTAGAAGCTTTAGCCATTCCAAAGAAACTATTATCTAAGTGCAAATTATCTTGCGTTAATCTGTCTTTAACCCTAAACTGTTAATAATAAGCAAATGGTGCAATGAAAATTTTGTTAGTTTACAGCCAATCAGCATAGATCTATGCAAAATTCTATGTAAGTAAATTATCCTATGACTTAGAAAATAAATTTGTTTCCCAAGAAAAGCAGTTATGCTAGAAAAATGTTTGTTCCCAGAATTAAACTTAATGAAAATTTTTGTTAAAATATGAGTCAGAAATATAGCTTTACTATAAAAAAGAAGCTGGGGTGCTGATACAGTTACAAGATTCTTTTGTGGACAAGTTAATTCATTGGTAAAAGTTCTTTCAGTTGCAGGCAATAGTGAACAGGCATTTATCAGTCATGATGGGGAAATCAAGGACCAACAGTATTGCATTGAAATGATAGGACCATTTGTTCCATGTGATATAATATATCTCTGGTGGTACACTATTTGGTTCTAAGTGAAATGTTTTGAAAATGCATACTTTGAGAAACTGGTAGGTAAAGTGCTATTCTGAATTATTTTGTAATGTTATGTTACAACTAGAAGGAAAACTCACTTCATAACATTTGAGATTAAGAAATTCCAATATAAGAGAGCATAACAATCTGTTTTGATAGGAAAATTATAATATGCATACTTTAAATTTTAAAATAAAGAAAACATTTCTTGCTATTTAAACAGTAGTATCTCTTTATCCTTCTGATATAAAAAATGTTGAAGATAAAAATCTTTATTTTTTCCACTTTAAATGTATTGTCTAATACATAAATAGTTCAGCTACTGCCACATATGAGTATCACTAAAAACAAAAGTATTGTTCCATCTACTTCACTTGAGTTCAATATAAAACCTTATCTTTCTTGAGATGAAACCTGGAATTTATTATGAAAATATCCATGTGAATTTTTTTTTTAAAGATCTTAAGTTCAGCTTTTGGTTTCCTTTTTTAGCACGAGCCAGCCCAATGTAAAATTGTACATCATTCATTCCTTCAATAAATAGGTTGGAGACATGAGGGTGAATGGAAATAAATTCAAATAAATAGAACATAACAGTTTTCCTCTTAAAGTTCAGTGGAGTATAGTCACTCATTCATTAGCAAAATCATTTATTGAATATCTAGTACATGGCACAAAAAGTGTTTGACCCATGACAGGTATTAATAACTATTTGATGAAATCAGTGAATGAATGAACATAATTAGAATATAGCTGAAATACTGTGTGGTAAAAACAGACTCCAGATGTATTGAATCTCAGAGAGGGACATCTATCTGAGGAGATTAGGTAGTATTCCCTGGGAGGTACCTGAACATACAAGTAGAAGATGTCTAGGTACGAGAAAAAGAGGGAAGAAGGCATTCCAGAAACTCTACCCTCACATACCTGTAGCAGGGTAAGAAGTAGTCTGGAACGTGCAGGGTAACACGCAATCCGGTATTGCTGGACCTAAGAATGAGAGACAGGGAGAAGCAAGGGGTAATGATAGAGGCCAAAGGAGGGGAAACCACCGAAAAGTTTTCAAGTAAAGCAATGACATGGACTCACTTGCTATTTAAATAGATCATCTGGCTTCATGAAGGATAGATTGGAAAGTAAAGGTTGAAGAGGAATTAATCTGAATATTGAAGGATGAGCAGTATATCAATAAGCAAAGATGCAGGATAACATTCTGTGACCAATACATAGAGCGTCTTTAACAGGCTCTGTATTTGCAAGGCTGCTGGGACCCTGAATTCATAAGCCTAGGATTGTGAGGAAGGGAACTTGAACCAGATGATGCTGGAGATGCTGCGGAGCTGGGCCCTCTTCCTGAGGACCCTGACTCGCAGTCCACAGTGTGCTGTAAAGAGAGGTGTGATGAACCTGGGCCCTACTTTGTAACAGGAAGTGAGGATGGGCATGACTAGAGAAATCACATAGAAATGGCAATATTCCAAGTCAGACTAGAAACTATGTCATGATGCTGATGGTCCAGAGGCTGAAGGTTTGAGGAATCAAATAGCTTCCAGCCCCACAGTAAAGGAACCGTCGAGGTAGCATATGGCTCTGCCATAGCAGACAGGAGGCTTTGGACAAGATGTATTCCAAATCCTACTGATGGACACAACAGGAGACAAATAAGAAATGAGACATAAATAGGTGTGCTGGAGCCAGCGTGGCTCAGTGGATTGAGTGTCTTCCCATGCACCAAGAGGTCACTGGTTCAATTCCCAGTCAGGGCATATGCCTGGGTTGTGGGCTTGATCCCCAGTAGGGGGTGTGCGGGGGGCAGCCGATCAGTGTTTCTCTGATAGATGTTTCTATCTCTCTTTCCTTGCCTCTAGAAAATCAATAAACACACACAAACACGCACACACACGTGTGTGTGTGTGTGCTGGGGGGCACTGACTGATGTAGTAAAGCTCGATTAAAGCTGTATGTGTTTAAAAAGTGGGAATAAAATTGTGAACGTCTTTTGGTTAGAATTAGAAGCCCTCAATTCCAAAATTGGTAGATTAGATTTCTACTGTCAACTCACTGAAAGTTTGTTTCTTTGTTGTTTTCTTAGAAAAAAAAACTATTCCAGGAAAATGAACCTGGCAAAAATGTCCAGGGTGGATTAAAAGGGAGGGACTGGAGGTAAAAATGGCAACAAGCAGGTTGTGGAAGAATTCACACCAAGTAAAGAGTGCCAGGGCCAGGGCATGAGGACTAGTAACTGAGAAGAAATATTACCATATGTATTTTCAAACCTGAGTTGGTACCAGCATCAATAGTCATTTTTTTTATTGTTGACAGTATTGTAGATGCCCCCCTCCACCCAGCCCCCACCGCACCCCAGTCCTTCCCCACACTATTGTCTGTGCCCATGGGCTTTGCACATGTC